TTACAGAAAGTAATAGACTTTATAATTTGCAAAACATTTCTATGTACATGATCAGTGTGTGATCCTCAAACACACCTATGCACTGTACAAGTTAAGTTACTCTGATTCTGCAGATGAGAAACATGAGCTTTAGGGAAATTAGGACTATTGCCCAGAGCTCAAAGCTAGCAGGCTGCAGAACCAAACTAGAAGGCATTCTTCCCAACACTTTAGCTAAGGCTCTTCCCAGCATGCAGTGCAACCAAGCTACTCAGTCACAACAGGGGAGCAAAGGTGATGTCCCTGGAACAGTCCTTAGGCACCTTTGTTCCAGGACCTGCACAGAGAAGAGAAGCAGGCAACAAAGAAGACCTAGGGGAACTTACCCATTCCGTCCTCAGGGACCCAAACAATGGAGCTTGCAACCGCATTTTACACATCAGCAAAACAGAGTTCAATGGAACAAAAAGCAGTATTAAAAAGAGAAATTAAAATCGGAGAAAAGTCAAAAACAGACAATACTGTTTTGTTCTGAGATGCTGGGGTAAATGAGAGAGAACTGCAGCTCCTCTCAAGCCTGGGCCACAAGGAGTGCAAGCCCCAGGCGTTAGATGGCTGCCCCCCCAGCTCTCTGTGGGTGCCAGCGTTCCTGTCCTCTCAGAGAAGCATCCAAGGGGGGCTTCACTGTATCAGCCATGGGGGTCAGGGGGAGGGCCCCACAACAGTTCGTTTTTGAGATCCGTTTTGGTAGTCTGCTATAAAACATTCCGCTCCTATACAGAGTGGAAGAAGGTAATGAATGCTGTCTTCATTGTAAATGTCCAAACATAGCCATTTACTCGAAATCTTGCTCACTAATGTAAAAACTATTAGTCAGGTTCTCAAATTGTAAGCAAGATAAACAAACTGGCTAAATCTAGATGATTGAAGGACAACTGGAAGCAGCTAAGTAAGGCATGGAGGCCGCCAAGAGCCAAGCCAGACATGGAGGCTAACTGCCAGGGTATGGTCAGACCAGAAGGTCCACCTGGGACAAAGGAGTTTCTAGAAAAGGATCTGAATTCCAAAGAACAAGCATGCACTTCAACATGCTTGCAGATGCCCTACATGTGGGACTGCAAGAGTCCTCCACAGCATCCCCCAAGAGGAAATAAAAGCCCTTGAGGAGAAAAGGAGGGGATGGGGGAGGGTCTCCATCTATACTTACCAAGGCTTTCTTCAAAAATTCCTTAACAACCTTCCTAGCAGTAGATCACTAATTCCTAAGAATATAATTTTAGTAACTAGCCATACACAGCCAAAAGGCCCATCTCCCTGATGCCCACAAAACTTAACCCTGACCATCTTTTGCCTCTGAAAGTTTCTCATATTTCTTTTTCATTACATTTCCTGATTCTCTCTCTTCTCTCTCTTCTCTCTCTCTCTCTCTCTCTCTCTCTCTCTCTCTCTCTCTCTCTCTCTCTCTCTCTGTGTGTGTGTGTGTGTGTGTGGACACGACACAGGATGCAGACAGAGGTCGGGGGACTAACGGTAGTTAGTTCCCTCCATGTACCATGTGAAGCCCGGTGATTGAACACCCGTCATCTGGCTTGGCAGCAAGCACCTCTGTCTGCTGAGCTACCTTACCATTCCTAATTATCTACTAAAAGTAATTTTTTCATTTGATTCCTGAGGATAAATCAAGATTTTCTCTCTTTTTTGTTGGTAATAATATGTTCATTTTGAAAACATCATGAGACATCTTTTAAAGATAAATGGTATCCCAGTGTGGTGGTACATGCCTTTAGTTTCAGCATTCAGGAGGCAGAGGCAGGTGGATCCCTGAGTGTGAGTCCAGCCTGATCTACAAAGCAAGTTCCAGGACAGCCAGGGCTACACAGAGAAACCCTGTCTCAAACAACAACAACAAAAAAGAAGAAGAAGAAGAAGAAGAAGAAGAAGAAGAAGAAGAAGAAGAAGAAGAAGAAGAAGAAGAAGAAGAAGAAGAAGA